GATGGCTCAGCGGTTAAGAACACTGACTGTTCTTGCAGAAGACCTGGGTTTGAATCTAGCACCCACCAGGGCAGCTAACAACTGTCCATAACTCCAGTTTCAGGGGATCTGACAGCCTCTTCTGTCCTCTGAAGGCATTGCAGGACATGGGTGCACTTATCTACATGCAGGCAATACACACATACACATAAAAAATAAAAGATTTTTAAAAATTGCATACATATGACTCCCTGTATGTATGTGTGTGCACCGTGTGTGTATGGTACTCACAGAGGCCAGAAGAAGGTGATGGATCCTCTGGAACTGGAGTTACAGACAGTTGTGAGCTACCATGTGGGTGCTGGGAACCAAACCTGGGTCCTTAATAAGAGCAGTCAGTGCTCTTAACTGCTGAGCTACCACCTTACCAGTGCCATTTTTGTGTTTTTGAGACAGGGTCTCATTATGCAGCCCTGATTGGCCTGGAACTCAATTATGTAGACCAGCTGCCCTCAAACTCACAGAGATCTACCTGCCCCTGACTCCCAAGGGCTAGGTTTAAAGGTGTGCACCACCATATCTGGCTGGACGTAGTTTCTCTTTACCAAATTCTAGGATCCTGAGGACTTAGAAGGCTTATGTGGAGATTCCAAGATTCAGTTTTGCAAGTGTGCCTGACTGGGTGTGGGGTGTCTGGGTAGAAGCCAAAACAACAGGCCTGGATTATCCCAGGCCTGGAAGGGTGAGCCACAGGCATTGTGAAAGCATTTAACGAGTTCACACTGGGTTGCAAGCAGAAAATAATCCAGTTGTGGGTTGGCAGATGGCAGTCCATTCTGGCAGTCCATTCTTCGTAGCTGTTCTTGGGAAGTAAGGACCCTGGAGGTTGGGCTAACAATATTCACAAAGCGAGCCAAGTGAATAATGAGGATGATAGTAAAGATAATTTAATCTGAGGTTGAATTAATAAACTCTTAGGGCCCAGGCCACAGATCTAATAGTCCCGTTAAAAGCTACGCAGGTCAGACTACTGGCTTGGATTAAGACAGGCATTGATGGGTTAGAGATCAGAGGTCAGAAGCTTGACTAATTTGCAAAGGAGAGTGGCAGGGAGCTGACAGTTCCTAGAGCTCTGTGCCCAGAGACTCTATAAGCTCCAGACCTATGCACCCCAGGGTGCTGTGAAGTTCGGTTTCATTACATCCCAACCTGCTACTGTCCCAAGTGTCCTGACCAGTCAGAGGCAGCTGCATCTGCTTGGCATCACCATCATCCTTGATGTCCTGCTTGTTCACCGTCCTCTGGGGAGTCCAGTCCAGCCAGCACAAAGCTAGGTAGATCTGCCTCTCAGGTCTCCCTGGAACTCTGTCTTTCTCATGGTCTCCGCAGCTCTGGCCCATATGGCCACATGGCCACCATCTTGCCTGCACCTCTGCAGTCTCCTAGCCCCACAGCCCCACCCCCCACACCCTGCTCTTGCCACTCTCTGGTATGTTTTCCATCCTGCAACCACAGTGATTTTTGTTTGTTTTGAGACAGGGTCTTAATGGTCTTAAGTAGCCCAGACTTGCCTTAAACTTGCTATGTGGCAGAGAATGACCTTGAACAGATCCTCCAGCTTTACCTCCCCAAGGGCTGGAATTACAGGTCCACCTGGCCCTATCTATGTGTACTTGTATATGTATGTGGGTGGGTGAACATGTACTGTGATGTGCATATGATTGTCGGAGGACAACCTTCTCTCCTTCAATGATGTAGGTCCTGGGGATGGAACTCAGGTCATCGGGCGTGGCAGCAAGCACTTTTACCCACTGAGCCATCTCACCAGTCCCTTAAAAATTATTTTACTACATTGTATTTATTTGTATGTTTGTGAGCATATTTATATTATTATTATTATTACTGCTACTACAGTGCTAGGGGTTGAACACAGAGCTTTGTACATGCTAAGCAAGCACTCTACCACTGAGCTACAACCCCAGCCCCTCACTGATCTTCTTTGGTGTTTGTTTTTGAGATGGGAATCTCACTATGTAGATCAGTTTGTGTACCAGCAATCCTCCTGCCTCAGCCTCCTGAATGCTGGTATTAGGTATGTACCACCCTGCCTGTTCCTGACTGATCTTTAAAGAGCAAAGTCTCACCCTAGGTTGGCTCCTACACACCTCTCCAGCATCCTCTCCTGCATGCATGTCTGGCTGTTCGGTTTCTCCCAAGGGCCACAGGTCCTCCTGGCACTTGGGCTTTGTAGCTGGCTGCGACCCCCCTGGAACAGCAACCCCTTGTGGTCTTGCCATATCAGCTGCTGCTCGGCCTCCAGCAGTCTCCCCAGGTCAGATCCCAGAGATGTTCTCACAGCCCGCGAGCCTCTTCTTTGTAGCAATTACTATATGTGCTATTCCACATGGATTTGTGTATGTGTCGTTTTTTTTTTATTTTATGTGTCTGCGTGTATTGCCTGCATGTAAGTAAGTGCACCCCTGTCGTGCAATGCCCAAGGAGGTCAGAAGAGGCTGTTGGATCCCCTGGGACTGGAGTTATAGATAGTCGTTAGCCACCATGTGGGTGTTGGGAACCAAACCTGGGTCCTCTGCAAGAGCAGCCAGTGCTCTTAACCACTGAGCCATCTCTCTAGTTCCGTATGTATGTTGTTTTTTTTTGTCTTTTTGAGACAGGGTCTCCCTCTAGCCCCATGTGGTGATGCATGCCTTTAATCCCAGCACTCAGGAGGCAGAGGCTGGCAGATCTCTGTGAGATGAGGTCAGCCTGGTCTACATAGGGAGTTCCAGGCCAGCTGGGGCTACAAGGAGACCCTGCCTCAAAAAAGACATATATATTTCCTCACAAGATTATACACTGCAAAAATGGCAAACTTCAAGAACACAGGATTGGATTAGTTGAAAAAAGAACTATATTAAATATCTAAAGGACAGGGCTAGAGAGATGACCCAGCAGATAAGAGTACTGGCTGTTCTTGCAGAGGACCAGGGTTCAATCCCCAGCACCCACATGGTGGCTAACAACCATCTGTAACTCCAGTTCCAGGGGCTCCAAAGCCCTCTTCTGACTTCCATGGGCATTGCATGACATGGGCACACACACATGCAGGCAATACATACACATAAAACAAAATTAATAAACAAAATATTTAAATATCTAAAGGACTAGCATAAGAGATTATATGGCATTAGAGAACTAGTAAAATAATAATAAGTGGACATTATGGCAGGGTGTGGTGATGTGTGCAGGAGGTGGAAGCAGGAAGCTCAGGTGTTCAAGGTCACCCTCAGTTACATAGTTAAGGCCAAGCTGGGCTACATAAGACCCTGTCTCAAAAATAAAATAAAATAATGAAATGAAATGAAAAATTCAAAGAAACACAAAGTGAAATTTATAGAAATAATCGGTAATATTTTACTGAGCACCTATCATATAACAAGTATTATTAGAATTATTTATGTAATTTGATATGTGAAGTAGTTAAATTTATTGCTATTTCACAGAGACAACAACTTCTGTTCGGTTATGCGTCTTCCCCAAGGTGGCATAGCAGTGGGTAAAGACTGCAGTTAAAGTGGGCCTGTCTCTTAGACACGCTGTGCTTAGGAAGTTATCACAAGGACTCTGAAACTTCACTTCCTGGGCTCCGTCTTAGGTCTGGCCTTCTTGTCAGCCTCAGTGGCGGCTCCAGCTCAGAGTCTGCCTCACCCACTGCAGCCCTCCAAGCAAAGTTCCCGGATAAAGCTGCCTCCGTAGAGCTGGCCTGTGCCTGCACCATCTTCTAGGTAGCCGCCAGCCACTTGCGGCTCTTCAGCAGTTGAAATAGGGCTAATGTGACTGGATTTCAATTTTTTAATTTTACCTAATTTAAAAGGCCACAGGTGCTTCATTGGCCACCATACGGGACAGCACAACCACCTGCCCAGCTCCCCATGACCTGCTCCCTGAAAAAAACACATGGTATCTGTCAGCTCTATTTTCTTTCTTTTTTTTCCGGAGCTGAGGACTGAACCCAGGGCCTTTTGCTTGCTAGGCAAGCACTCTACCACTGAGCCAAATCCCTAACCTATTTTCTTTTTTCACTTTTTCCTCTTTGTGTGTGTGTGGGGTGTGCGGGGGAGGGGGTGCTCATGTGGGGGAGCATGGGAGCGTGTGTGTGTGTGTGTGTGTGTGTGTGTGTGTGTGCGTGTGCACGTGTATATGGAGGCCCAAGGTTGATGTCAGGAATCATCCCCTATCACTCTTCTGTCTTACTCATTGAGGCAGGGTGTCTCAGTCAAACCCAGAAATTCCCATATGATTAGTCTCCCTAGCCAGCTTGCTCTGGGAACCCTCTGCTTCCATCTCCCAAGGCTGGAATTACAGGCAGCCTGCTAAGCCCATCTGATATTTGATATGGGTTCTGGAGGTCCAAACCCTGGCCCTCACACTTGTATGGGAAGCACTTTAGTACTGAACCCCCTATCTCACCAACCCCCTTTCAATTTCTTATATGTGTCAAAGTTTCTTCCCAAGTGCCCACTTTGTAATTTGCATTTCTCCCCCTGCTGGTCAGTTCTGTACAGTTAAAGGCCAGTATGCATCCAGGGGCCTCCTGGTCAGGGGTGCCCAGTTTTCTACATTGTTATGGTGACTCATGTTTTATCTAAGCAGCCTCCCACACAGACCTGTGAACTGCTCCCTTTGTTTTCAGAAAGCATCTTTGGTAATGTCTCTGCACCCATGGGTGACACTTTCAGGATGGTACAATGCTAAAGGTGGAGTTGCTGGTTCAAAGGACAATCACATTAAAGTTGTTTGTATAAACCAGGTGTGTTGGTACACTCCTGCAATCCCAGCACTTGAGACGCAGAAGCAGGAGAATCAGGAGTTCAAGGCCTGCCTCAGTTACATGAAACACACACACACACACACACACACACACACACATACACTCACACAAAATTGTTGGATTGGGTTGGAAAAATGGCTCAGCAGTTAAGGGCACCTGCTGTTCTTGCAGGGGACCAGGTTCAGTTCCTAGCACCCACACGGTGGCTCACAATCACCTGTAATTACAGTTCCAGAGGATCTGATGCCCTCTTCTGGCCTCTGCAGGCATGTATATGGTACACATACATACATGTAGGCAAACACTCATACACATAAACTAAAAATAAATCTTGGGACTGGAGAGATGGCTCAGCAGCTAAAAGCATTTGCTGCTCTTGTAGAAGACCTGGGTTTAGTTCCCAACACTGACATGGTGGCTAACAACCATCAGTTCCAGGGGATCCAACACCCTCTTCTGGCCTCCTTGGGCACTGCATACACATGATGGACTTCCATACATGCAGGCAAAACATTCATACACATAAAGTAAAAATAATAAAATATATAAAAAGCCCCCCCAAACCCCCCAAAACAACAAAACAAAACAAAACCCTGCTGGGTGGTGGGAACCGGGATGCAGGCCTTTAATCCCAGCACTCAGACGGCAGAGGCAGGCAGATCTCTCTTTGAGGTCAGTCTGGTCTGCACTGAGTTCTAGGTCAGCCAGGGCTGCATAGTGAGACCTTGTCTCAAAAAAAACCAAACAAACAGAAGAGTTAAAAAGATACAGCATTAGCATTCCATTTTATCCTCAGTTGGGTTATATCTCAAGACTCTCCCATAGATGGCTGAAGATGGCACCAGATGCCCTGGAACTGGAGTTCAAGATGGCTGTTAGTCACCACGTGGGTGTTGGGAGCTGAACCCTGGTCCTCTGCAAGATCAGCCAATGCTCTTAACTGTTGAGCTGTGTCTTCTGCCCCAAAGTT